CCTCCCTCCCTCCCTCCATCCAACCATCCATTCATCCGTCCGTGTGTCCGTCCGTCCGTCCGTCCATTTGTTTGTCTTTTAACTATTTTATCGGTCTGTCTACTGTTTTTTGTTTTCTTTTCACTCGGTCAGCAGGTGTGTCTGTTTGTCTATCTGTCTATCTGTCTTTCTGTCGATCAGTCGCAGTCGTCCGGTGTCTAATAGCCAATAACGCATAGTCCACGTACTATCTTGATATTTATTTTTTAAACTTATCAACTAAGCAAAGTAGTATATTTTCCTTGCTTAAAAAGAAGAATTTCGAATACGAAATGAAAATTTTAATCTCTGCACATCTAGCTCGTGCCGCAAACCTCAATTGCTTGAACAAAACACGATTCATACATCAATAATAACACGCTTAATCAAGAACCTAGCATCCGATCATGTACATTATCTGCCAACATCTCTTCCTTTTCTTTATTCAAGTTACTCACATTAGTATTCAATGTTTCTATAGTCCCGGCTTTGAATACAGTTTAGTCATAATTTAAGGATATGTTTTCTTTATCAATGGACCCGGTTTGTCGATACTCTGGGGTAAGTTGCTTTATTTTTGTAAACGATTTTCTATAAATATAGTTTGTTTTTTAAATAAGGCTCTCTTGCATGTCGTGGATGAGTCGAAGCGTTTGCTTTGGATTCAATTGTAACATAAGGAGGAGAGAAAGAGAAATGAACTTGAAAGAGTAACACTAATGCATAATTAATTGTACTTAATCAGTGATAATGGAAACGAAGAAAAGATCTAAAATCACAAGGAGAAAAAATCCCCCAAACCGTAAAAAAGAAGAAGAAAGTAAAGAAAAAAGAAAGAAAGAAAGAAAGAAAAAAACAAAAAAACAAAACAAAACAAAACAAAACAAAACAAAAAAAAAAACAAAACAAAACAAAACAAAAACAAAACAAAAAAAATAAAAAGATAAGAAAGAAAGGCCACAGGAACAAAAGATAAGAAAAGCGCAATTCAAATCAACTATACCAAGTATCCAGTGTCATTTCAAAAAAACCGAATGTTCAATTCATGCGTAGTGAAACGCGAGTGATACCTTCATTGTGTTATTTATAGTTAAGCATATCTTGCATATTTAGTTACTCACAGCTTAGCGACAGTTACAATGACTATTTAACACCATCAAAGTGAATAAACGATTTTGCTAGACTAATGGTCGTCACTTGTGGCGGTTTCTAGTGGGACTTCAAAAACATGAAAAAAAAAACAAAAATAATGCGAAAACGTTAAAAGGAAGAATTCGACAGGAAAAAGGAAAATCCAATAATGTTGTTGTTTTTTGTTTAAATCTCTATTTTTCTTCCATATTTTTTTACTTTTTCTTTCGATTTTTCCTTCTTTATTTCTTTTGTTTTTCTTTTGTTTTCTTTTGTTTTGTTTTTTTTTTTTGTTTTTT